GAGCGAGGTCCATCACCATTCCGGGGACCCCAGGTTCCCGGATAGCCCCAAAGTCAACCAAAGGCTGCAAATGACAGGCCCCGCACACAGTAGGTGGCCAAGGCACTGCTCCGACTGCGTTCCAGTAAAGCAGAATGGGCCCAGACGTGGCCAAGGAGGGGAGGGGAGGGGATGGGGGTACCCAGGCGCGCGGCAGTGTGGGGAGAGGGGCGCCCCCGGGCGGCGCCTGGCTCACAGAGGGACTCCATTCAGACGTGTGGATGAATGAGCCGGCGCGCGGGTGTCGGCGCCCGGGACAAGGTCTAAGGAGACTCGGGCGCCCCGCGGCCCCGCGCCGGAACCGGGCCCGCAGGCGGTAGTCGGAGACCCCCCCCAGACCCCCATCCAACCCAAGCCCCCTCGTCCCCTAGTCCTCGGCCCGCCAGGCCACCCGAGGCCGCGCACGTCCCACGCCAGCCCCCCCCCCCCGGCCCGCCATCACCCCGGACGCCAGGTGCGCGGTAGTGGCCCGGCAAGGTGACCGCGGGCGCGGGCCCAGCGCCCACCTTCTGAGCGGCGCGCACGTTGTCCTCGCCGAACAGGCTGCTGACACTCTGCGAGAAGGTGTTGGTCGTGCGGCGGTAGCTGTTCTTCTCCGCGCCGCCGCGGCCCCGCGCCCCCTGCGCGCCCGGGGCCAACAGCCCGAGCAGCAGCAGCAACAGCAGCAGCACCAGGAGCAGGAGCCCAGCCCGGGCCCAGGGCCCACTCGAGGCACGCACGCCCATGCTTGGCCGCTGCTGCGGGTCGCGGTGCGGGGGATGAGGGCCGCGCGCAAGGCCGCCGCGAGCTCCGGCCGGGACCGCGTTGGCGCGAAGGGGCCGCGCGCCGCTCCTCCGCCCGACGCCGCCGCCGCTGCTGCTGCTGCGCACCTGCCCCGCCCCGCGCAAGGCGCAAGCCACGCCCATGTCCGATAACCACGCCCACGCCCGCTGGCCCCGCCCGCCAGCCAGCCAGCCAGCCAGCCAACCAGCGATCCCTTGCAGCTGGGTCACAGGCCCGGGTCGCTTGTCTTCCGCCCCGGAAGATGTGAAAAGCGTGTAGATCACCTCCCTTGCATTTATTCATAGTACCCCAAAATTGGTCGTCGGGAGCACCCGGAGTTCAATCTTCCTGCCTTTACCGAATGAACTGCATTTAAAGATGGGTTGGGGATTGGAGGGGTCATCAAAAGAACCCGAAGCAAAGATGCGAGTTGGGGGTCCCGCCAGGCAGTGCTGGTGTCGGAAGGGGCCAGCGCCACCTACACGGACTAGGACGCCTGATCTGCCCTCGAGGTCTATCCAAGTTTGCAGAAACTGGGGACGGGGGTGGAGGGGATCCAAGAACTCAGAGTGCCGGCATTCTAGGAAGCAAGTGACCCAGCTTCTTAGTGCATAAATGGCATTGAAGGAGGGGGAGGATTATTGGTTTTAAAGACTTAAGAGCCCCGCTAACCAATTGCTATGCAAAGGTCCTGCTTGCATCTAAGGAAGTGCAGGAAATAGCGCCCCGATTGTGCTGATTATTCCAACCGAGAGAAGTTGGGGGCGGGGTGGGGGTGCGTCCTCTGTGTTCCTTATCTGTCCTCTCCCCGGAATGCTCGCGATGACTTTGCCACAGGTGAGCCCCGGTTCCCTTTCCTCCGGCGACAATTTTTATTGCCTCAGAAGAACGTTTTCTGCACGGAAGGCGACGGTTGTTCCCCACCCCCCACCCCCACCCCCGCCATTCTGACGTCCCGCCCTTCTTCGGGCTTTTTGTGGGTCTCCGATGCGCATGCGCGGAATTAGCGCGGGTTTTCTCCTGCAATCTGTCTGCTGTCCCTTTACTTCATCACTCCATTAACGAACCTTCAGAGGATAAAAAGAACGTTCCCTCTCTCCTACACATCCTAGATCAAACCAGACATCTTTTGAGACAACCGGAAAAATAAAACATTATTTTGCAAATCCACAAGTGAGAAACTGTATCTGGGGTGTAGCTCAGTGGTAGTGCTTGCCCACCATGTGCAAGGCCCTCGGCTCCATCCCCCAAAAAAAGAAAAGAAAAATTGTATCTTACTTTGAACTTACATCTGGATTCCTGGGAAGGTTTTCAGATAATTACTGGCTATTTGATTTATGGCTCTGTGAAATGTCTTGTGTAGCCCAGGCTGGCCTCGAACTCACCATTCTCCTGCCTTGGCTTCTCCAATGCAGGGGTTATAAGCGTGTACCACCAAGCCTGGCTCTTCTTCATTTTGACTTTTTTTTCTTGTATTGTTTTATCTTCTTAACTTATTCTTATTTATTTATTTTTGAGGTGCTGGGGATCAAACCCAGGACCTTGCCCATGCTAAGCAAGCACTCCACTGCTGTTCAATTATTCTTACTCTTGTTTATCTTTTCTTAACCTTTTTTCTTTTGTGCTGAGGTGGAATCTAAGGCCTCTTGCAAACACTCTACTATTTGAGCTACACCCCCAACTACAATGTCATTTTTTTTTGGTGGGACTGGGGTTTGAACTCTGGGTTTCACACTTGCTATACAAGAGCTCTACCACTTGAGCCACAACTCCAGTCCATTTTGTCTGGTTATTTTGGAGATGGGGGACAGAATGGTGGTATGGTTTCTCAAGCTTTGCCCAGGCTAGCCTCAAACATCAATCCTCCTGGGTCTCATCCTCCCAAGTAGTTAGGATTACAGGCACTGGTACGAAGCTTCAAGTTAATAATTTATAAAACGGAACACTTAAAACATATGTTTAAGGAAGAAAGTTTAATTTTTTTTTTTTTTGGCACTGGGGTTTGAACTCAGGGTCTCACACTTGCAAGGCAGGTGCTCTTACAGCTTGAGGCACCCCACCAGCCCAGGAAGAAAGTTTAAGCCAGGTGCTGGTGGCTCACACCTGTAATCCTAGCTCCTTAGGAGGCAGAGATCAGGAGAATCTTGGTTCAAAGTCAACCCCAGAGGAAATGGTTCCAGAGATCCTATCTTGAAAATACCCAACATAAAAAAGGGCTGGTGCTCAAGTGGTAGAGCCCCTGCCTAACAAGTGTGAGGCCCTGAGATCAAACCCCTTTTGCAAAAAATAAATAAACAATAAAATCCACAAAAACACAGGTTTTGGTATTTTAAGTACCTTTTTTTTTTTCTTTTTCTTCTTTTTTAAGGCATGCACTCCTGTAGCCCAGGCTTGTTTGGAACTTGCCATCCTTCTGCCTGAGCCCCCTGAGTGCTGGGATACAGGTGTATGCTTACATATCTGGCTTTGCTCATTATACTTGTTTAAAAACTCCACATTCATTGATATTAATGTATATATCTTAGCAGGGCATGATGGCACATTGCTTGTTGTCCCAGCTACTCAGGAGTTAGATAGGAGATAGGAGGATCCAGGTTCAAGGCCAGCCTGGATATATGTTATCAAGACTATCTCGAAAGCCAGTGGGGGTGGTGGCGAACACCTGTGGTCCCAGCTACTTGGGAGTAGAGGCAGGAGGATCGAGATACCAGGCTGGCCTGGGCAAAGTTATGGAGGCCTTATTTGAATAACAGCAAAGGGACTGGTGTTGTGGAACTACTCAAATCCTGTTCCGCACCACCCAGAGTTTGTGTTTTGTTCTGTCTTGACTGGCTCTGCAGGGGATAAGAACAGCTCTGCGAGTTCAGTCTCATTCTTCGCTGGCTGATGCCTCATTGTTCCAGGTTCTGCACAAGGTTTTCATGGAGACAATTTTACTTTTTTTTTTAATTTTTAATTGAGGCATAATAATTGTACGTATTTATGGACACAGTGTGTTATTCCAGTACAATGTCAAGCGTTGTACTCATGTATAGAGACACCCTGCAGGAGTGCATCACCTCCGACATCACTTCTTTGTCTTGGGAACATTCACAATCCTCTGCTAGCTATTTTGTAATGTACAAATAGTCCTTGTCAACCAAAATTACCCTACTGTGCCACAGAACATTAGTTCTTCCTCCTGTCTAGCTGAGCCCTATGCCCACCAACCATCCTCTCTCTCTATCCCTCCCTGCCCACCCTTCCCAGTTCATGAGACAGTGTTTTTCATTTGTGGAGTAGTTTTGTTTTGTTTTGTTTTAATCTTTATCCTTTCTAAAATTCTAAAATAACTCTCAACTCACTTTTAATTTCACCTTTTTTTGTGATATAATTTAAACGTTTGCCCTTAAGGAATCAATACTTTTTTTTTTTTTTTCCGTACTGGGGCTTGAATTCAGGGCCTTCCCTTGAGCCACTCCACCAACCCTATTTTTGTGAAGGGTTTTTCGAGATAGGGTCTCTTGAACTATTTGCCTGGGCTGGCTTCGAGCCTCGGTCCTCCCGATCTCTGCCTCCTGAGTACCTAGGATTACAGGTGTGAGCCAACGGCGCCTGGCTAGGAATTAATAATTTTAATCGAAAAAGCATGGTGTAATATGACTGTTCTTTCTGCAAGATAATTACAGGATTCAGAAATGCATTATTTCCGAGTGCACTACGGATGATGTGATGGGATAATGAGAGTTTTAAGCTGTCTAATAAATGCTTTCTTCTTTTTAGATCTTCTATCTGTCCCTGTGATGGAAATATTTGGTGCCTTTTACTGTGCAGCTAATACATGTTACTTGTAGGAATATCAGAAAATGCAGATAAACAAAACGAGGAGGGGGGATAAGTTTGTATGGGCACAGGGTTATATTTTAATAGGTAACAAAATACTCCCACTCCACGTAGCAAATTAGTAGGTAATTTGGATCTAAACACAGACTTGCCAGACTGGCGAATATCCTGGGCTAAAATTCAGACCTCTCGCCAGGTCCTCCAAGCCCCGCCCCTAATTTAATTGACCACGCCCCGTAGAATCGGCCCGCCTTCCCGCAGGTACCGCCTCCAGTCGTGCAGCTCCGCAGCAGTCCGAGTTATCGCGAGATCTCAACCCGGAAGTCTCGCTTCCTGACGCGGGTCTGGGCACCCACGTGGACTGGGTTTGGGGTAGCGAAGCTGGGCCGCGGCGGTGTCTGCCGGTGGCGGAGGCGCCATGGGCAAGCTGCGCCGGCGGTACAATGTCAAGGGGCGCCTGCAGGCGGGCCCCCCGCCCTCGAAGGGCGCACCGGAACCGCCCCCCGTGCGACTGGAGCTAGAGGGTAAGGCACCCGGGATGGGGCTGGGTTTCAGGGCAGGGTCCGCCCAGACCCGGGCCTGTGATCTGCTTTCGCCACTGTGGAGCGGGATCCCGGACAGGAACCCCCATTACAGATGATCCAAGGAAGGGGGCAGTGACAGTCTAGTTTAACAGTGAGTGTGGGACAGTACCCGGGGTTTCTTTTGCGCTGAAATGGTTGCACGGAGAATTTGGCAAGATATTGAGGCAGTTCCATTCGTTCCCGTAACTTCGACTGCAGTCTCCTTGCTAGCCATCCCAAAATTTGTGTTTTCAGCCCAGACCTGTCAGCTCAGCACCAGGCTGCTGCCGTGTCTGATTGGTGTTAGTGGGCGCGTCTGTTGTGGGCGGGACACTATTCTAGGCACTTGGAGACAGAGCAGGAAAGGCGGTAAAAATTCCTGTTGCCCTGGGTTAACATGGGAGAGACAGGTGAAGACACACGGTCAAATACATAGATTGTATTATACGTTGTAAATCCTGGGAGGTAAGGCAGAAGACCGAATAGGGTCCGTCGTGGGGTTGGCCTCACACAGAGTTATAAGGGACCTGAGACCTGGGGGGGACGTGAGAGGAAAACCCGGGGCCAGGGCAGGTAGGGCCTTGAGGGTTATGGTGAGGACTGGGGCTTTCAGGAGAGGGGAGCCATGGAAGGTGTTAGAGTAGAGAGAGAGACAGGATATGGGTCTCTGTGTAGCAGTGGGGCTGTGGCTGCTGAGCTGAGGGAAAGCTGCAGACTGAGGGTGATGGGTTGGGAGCTTGGGCTGGGGAGGTGACAGTTGGGGAGGTGGGAAGTGGTTGGATTGGGGCAGATTCTGAACTGGCTGACTGGGCTTATGTATAAGAACAGAGGAGATGACCAGAGTGAGTCCCAGACTTGGGGCTGTCCACTTGAGGAGGCAGTTGTGGGCTGCTTATGGGATCACCAGGAGCTCAGCTTTGGATACAAGTGCTTGGCACCCTGTAGATGCCTGAGCAGGGAGCAAAGGCAGGCAGTGTTGACTTGGGGCGCAAGAGACGCAGACCCTGGTAGAGAACATCAGTTTGGTAACATCTGTGTAAGACCAGGGTATTGGTTCACTGATGGAAGGTCTGGCACTTCAGAGAGGGAAGTGAGGTAGGAGGAGAGCTGGGGATGAGCTGTCCTGAACCAGCAAGGGGGGCTCACCCCCCACCCCACCCCCACATCAGGTGCTGCTCAGGGTCTGGGTGTGGCACTGGGAGGACACCAGTCACTTGGATCAGGCTGGTTTTGGAGATTGGGCTGAAGTGATCAAGCAGGTTCAAGGGTGTCTTCCAGGCCTGTGAAACTAAATGTGTTCCAAGATTGAACTCATCCATCTGCCAGAGTAAGCATCGCTGGGGCCACGCCCCAGAAATGGGAAGAGGGCCCAGCCAAGGGAAAAGCCTGCTTCCCCCAACCCATCAGTCTGTTGTCTCTCCTGTTCATGCTTGGACCTGGCAAGCTGTGGGTTATAGGAAAGGGCGTGATGGGGTGGGGGGTGCTGGAAGTGTAGGAGGAGAGCTGGAATTCCCTCTCTGAGCTGCACCTCCACCCCATACCTCTGTTTTCACATCTGTGAAGTGGGACCAGTAGTAGTGGCTACCCCACCTGCCATCAGAGTTTGGCGGGTAGCATTTTTGGAAACTATGTAACTGAAACAAGAATGGCTGAAAATCTCAGAGCATCAGATGATGGGTTGTGATATGTCCTGTGCCAGGCATTAGTCACAGTGATAGCAGGCAGTGTTTAGGACAGCACCACTAGGAGGGGCCATCAGAGTAGGGACTGAGGGCTCCTGCACCCAGAGATGTGGGCGGGTTGTCTGTCATATCAGAATAGGACATCTCTGTGTCCACAGAGCGATCTTATCAGTGGATAGCATGCTTGCTGTCGTTGGAGAGCCCCTGAACCTGGCTGTCATTGGCACTACTTCCTGGTTTCTGTCACATTCCTGGTTGTATTTCTATCACTTGGTGGTTCTCAGACTTGTCAGTCTCAGGACTCTTTTGCATTGTTAAAACTTGAGGACCTCAGGGAGATTTTGTTAGTGTGAGCCACACCGATGTCTGACCACATTAGAAATTAAACTTGAGAATCGTTTGGAATATAAGAATGCCCACGCACAAGCAGGTGCTCTGTTAAGCAGCACATCGACAACTGGCTTGAGAGTGCACACAGGGCAGATGAGAGCACGGCCTATATTGCTCCCTCCTTCTTCTCTTCCTCCTCCTCCTTCTTTTTTTGGTGAGAATGGAGTTTGAACTCAGGGCTTCATGGTTTCAAGGCAGGTGCTGTATCAGTTGAGCCACACCTCCAGCTCATTTTGCTCTGGTTATTTTGGAGATGGGGGTCTTGTGAACTATTTGCCACTACCACCACCCCCTGGCCTCGAACCTCGATCCTCCCAATCTCAGTCTCCCAAGTAGCTAGGGTTACAGGCAAGAATCACCCACGCTTAATTTGTTCCATTCTTCTTTAGGATCAAAACCTCTTCTACTGCAGGGCATTGTGGCACATGTCTGTACTCTCAGTGCCGGGGAGGCTGAGGCAGGAGGCTTGGAAGTTTGAAGCCAGCTTGAGCTTCATAGTGAGACCCCATCTCAAAAAACAAAATAAAAAACCTCCCCTGAGTTTGTAACAAAAGTAAAGACATACATACAACGGAGCAGTTAGTCAAGAATCAGACACTGCCCGTTCATCACCTGGTGTAGGACAGAAATAGCAGTCTGCAAGGAGCTGAATGGGATATGATAGCTAACTGTTCCAGAATGTTCTAGGTTGTTACATCCCTTCTGTTATGTATCAAAGCAGACATGGTATACACTCGGTGGCTTTGCTTTTTGTGCACTCTCCATAGAAGGTCCTAGTGCTGTCGGGGGGCCGGCTCTGACTCTAGACCCCCTTGTGCCACGTTCTCGGAGACTTGCAGGTGGGACAGGCAGGACACTCGCTGGCCCCTGCACTGTGGCGAGGCAGTCGTATCTTTCCAGACAAGGACACGTTGAAAGGCGTAGATGCAAGCAATGCACTTGTCCTGCCCGGGAGGAAGAAAAGGAAGACCAAGGCACCACCCCTGTCCAAGAAAGAGAAGAAGCCTCTGACCAAGAAGGAGAGGAAAGTGCTGCAGAAGGTCCTGGAGCAGAAGGAGAAGAAGAGCCAGGTATGGGACTGTGCGGTAGAACACTCTGGAGTAAGGGAATGTTCTGTGTCCGGTTGTGGTGGCCCCTGGCCACACATGGCAGCTGGGACACTCAGCTGTGGTTGCTGTAGATGAGGAACTGAGTTTGTAATGTGATTTAATTTTGAGTAATTAAAATTCAAATAGCCAGATGAGGCTAGTGCTGCCTCACTGGACGTGCAGGCCGGAGCCTGACACTGGGCATCCATCATCCCAGGATCCCAGGGTTGCTGAGGTCAAGTGTTTGATACCTGGGGAGGCGGTTCCTCAACATGCCTGCTTTTCTAAAAATTGTTTATCTTTTTTTACCTCCTTCTAGAGAATGTCAAGCTTTTTTCTGTATTTTTTTAAGTTTATTAAAAAAAGACCTTGGGGTTATGTACTGGTGGCTCATGCCTGTAATCCCAGTTACTCAGAATGCAGAGATCAGGAGAATTGAAATTTAGTTTACCAGACCAAGCAAATAGTTCACAAGACCCCTTCTCCAAAATAACCAGAGCAAAATGGACTGGAGGTCCAGTCATGCCTCAAGTAGCAAAGCGCCTGCTCTGCAAGTGTGAAGCCCTGAGTTTAAACTCCAGTCACACCAAAAATAATAATAATAATAATAAATGACCTTGGAGGCACAGGGCCTGGAGCTGCCGCTGGTGGTGGTGTCCTTGCTGGCATGGAGCATCATCTGACCAGAGACAGGAGCTCACGTATGTCTCTGAGTCTTCCATAGAATCCGTAAAGGGAACACTTTTGTAATGGGAAAGTCAGACACAGGCCTCTGGCAGCACCTGCAGTCCTCCACCCTGGTCAGCCTTGGCTCACCCACCTGCCCATCACACTCCACCTCCAGGTGATTTTGATTTTGAAGCAAATCCCAGGCAGCAGACAATTGCGTGTTTCCTGTGGCCACCCCACCTGAGGGCCACAAACTGGCTGCTTTTTAAAGCAAAAGTGTGTCCTCATGGTTCTGTAGGTTAGAAGTCCAAAATCAAGGAGTGAGCAGAAGCGGGAGGGTGGCTTAGGCCATAAAGTGTCTGCTTAGCAAGTTCAACCCTCTCCTCTGCCAAAAGAAAAACAAAAGGTGGCAGTGAGACTGGTGCTCTCTGTAGGCTCTAGGGAAGGAGGTGTCCCTGGCTTGTGGCTGTGTTCCTCCATTTGCCTCTGTCTTTTTGTAACCTTCTCTGTGTCTCTTACAAGGACACTCGTCTAGATCTAGGGCCCACCTGAGCGGTCCAGGTTGGTCTCATCTCAAAAGCCTTAAATTAATTACGTCCACAGAGACTGCTTCAAATGCCAGCACATTGGCTGGTGCCTGGATGTGAACAGGTGTTTTTTGGAGTTACTTTTCAACTGTTACAAAATGTCTCACGCACAGATGTGCTAATTTGTATCTCTAAGTGAGCTTTTTCTTTTTTTGTTCCTTATTTTGGTTTCCTGAGCCACTGGCACCCAGCTAACATTGAGCTTTTAAATAGCCACAGGCCATGACTATCCTGAAATTTTAAAACATCATCATGTGTTCAGTAAATGGTCAGAATTCCACTTGTCTTCTGGATGCATCCCGCTAAAATTTATTTGTGAAAGAAATTGTAGAGTTTCCAGGAGTCTAGATTTTTAAAAATTTTATATCTGTGGTACGGTTAAATATAAGCCATTCCTTTCTCTATTTCCTGTAAATTTGTGTTTGAATCTGTGGCAGAATTATTTTGTTTTGTGGTTCTTAGTGACTTGGAGGTGTGGCTGGCATTGAATGGGTGGAGCCTACGGTGGTGCTAGCCAGCCCAGGGCTGGGGTGCAGCTCAGTGGTAGAGTGCTTGCTTGCCTGGTGCACTTGTGGCCCCGAAGCCAAAGAACCTGGTGCAGAAGACTTCTGGAGTGTGGGTTTGGCTTTAGTGAGGGGAGTTGAGTGTCTGGAAATGTGCAGATGTCGCCTAAGCAGCCCAGTGTGCCTTCCTTGAAGCCCTTGATAGAGGCAAGGGCTGTGCTGTCTTCTGGGGGTCGTGTTCTTATGAAAACCTCTGTAGTGTTGTTTCCCACTGATGTCTTCCTTGCATGGTGTCACCACGTAGCCCAAGCTGGCCTCAAACATGCCATCCTCCCACAAGCACCTCCCAAAGGCTGGGGTTACAGGTGTGCCCACCATGCCCAACTCCTTGCTTTTTTTAAATCGTGAAACATACAGAAGTGTGTATGGGGGCTGGAGGTGTGGCTCAAGCAGTAAAGCACCTTCTTTGCAAGTGGGAAGCCCTGAGTTCAACCCCAGGCCCGTCAGAAACAAAAGCACCAAGTGTGCATAAAGTGTACAGGCTCCACTTTAAGAAGAGTTAAGCAGTGGCTGCAGCCCTCACTCAGGTGAAAGAAGTTGCCTGACCACACCCTCCTCAGGGTCCTGCCGTGGCTTGGGGACCAGGCACAGCTGCCCTCCCTCAGGCAGCCCACCCTATTCAGTCTCTCTTGGGGCATCTGGGCAGCCCATTGCCCTTGGCTATGACACACAGTGCTGTGGATGGGGAACCTTGTCCTATGAGAAGTGTCCCAAGCTCAGCTGCGTGCAGCTGTCAGCAACCACGCAGCAGTGGAGTTGAGATGCCATCTCAGTGTGGAGAGCCAGGTGTCAGCGATGCTGAAATTCCATATAGTCTGCTGTCCCTCCTGAGGAGAGGGTCTGATGTTCTGTGTGGCGTCCTGCGTGACACCTAGTTCCCTTTCACAGCGAGCAGAGATGCTGCAGAAACTGAGCGAAGTCCAGGTGTCGGAGGCCGAGCTGAGACTTTTGTACACGACATCCAGGCTGGGCACTGGGGAGCGCATGTACCAACCCAAAGTGTGAGTCAGCCACCCCTGCCCACTCTCCCTGCCAGAGTCCCCCAGGGCTCACAGGCCCGGGGTGTCGTGGGAACGTCTGTGGTGGCCTGAGTGGCCGTCTGTCCTTTGTCCCTGCTGAGTGCCTCTCTGAGCACAGGCTGCCATGGTGCTAACCTTCCTATGATGCACAGGACAGCAGCCCAATGGCAAATAGGCCACCCCTGAGCTTCTGGGTGGATGGGAATTTAGGGAGGACACTGGTCAGCCCAGTACAGACAGCGCTTGAGAATTGGGTGATTTCACAGTGTATGCCTGGGTCCCACCTGGCCTCAACCTGTTGGACAGGGCAGCCACCCCAGGCTGGCATTAGCACAGGGTAGCCAGCCTGTGTGCCCTCTCCCCAGCATCTCTCACTCAGACTGCTCTATTTGTGCAGCTGCTGTCTGCTGAGCACAAACTGGCCTAGGGATCGGGCAGGGCACAGAGATGAAGTCCTTCCCCACTGGAGCTCATGGGCTCTGAGGCAGGTGGCAGGCAGGTAGTGTTAATGAGTATTAAACAGAAAATAAAGTAGAGACCAGTGGGAGAGGGGAAGGGAAAGGGGAGGGACAGTCTTCCCAACAGGTGACAATTGAGCTAACATTTATGTGACCTGTAGGAGGGTGTTTGGGGACTAGGAACAGCAAGTGCAAAGGCCCTGAGGTGGAAAGGACCATGGGCTCTGAGTCCTGACCTGTGTTGAGTGGTACCCAGAGCTGCCTGGATGTCCTAAGGCCCGGTTCCTCAAGTGTCTGCCTTCCCTGCAGGAAGCCCACAGAGCCGGCAGCCCAGGGTCAGATCAGCAGCCTCCGCGGAGCCCTCCGCAAGCGGTGCCGCCAGCCATCCTCAGAGGAGGAGTCCGAGTCCTCAGAGGAGTCTGAGCCTGATGAGGCCCTGGCCACCCACGGGGAACCAGCCACAGCGCACCAGCCACCAGCCCTGCCTGGGAAAGGGGACGAGCGCTCCACGGCCCACAGTCAGCCCACTCCAGCCAGGACCCTGACACCTTTGCAGACTGCAGCTGCCGCCCTACCCAGGCCCCCAGCCAAGCCCGCTGTTTTCATCCCCGTGAACCGCACCCCGGACATACAGGTTTGCCACTCGCGGGGCAGCAGAGAGGGGTCACCTCTCTGCGTGGAGGAGGTTACCGGCCCACTGTATCTCAGTGTCCCCTCCTGGGAAAGGCCGTGCTTGGGATTGACAAACCCTGAGGGTGCAGGGAAGGCTGAGACAACGGCAGAGTTCCGGGGCTGAAGGTCCGTCCTGCTCTCCGGCCATCCAGGCCTCTGTTCCCTCACCGTGCCCCTGCCATCATGGCTTTTGTCACCCAACACCCTGCGTGGTCTTGTGAGTGAGTGGGGTCCTTCCACAGCTCTCATTCCCCATTCCCTGAGCACTGACTTCCTCTCCCTCCAGGAAGAGCGGCTCAAGCTGCCAATCCTCTCTGAGGAGCAGGCCATCATGGAGGCAGTGGCCGAGCACCCCATCGTCATCGTGTGTGGAGAGACGGGCAGTGGGAAGACCACGCAGGTGCCACAGTTCCTCTATGAAGCAGGCTACAGCAGGTGGGGCTAGGGGCTGTCCCCCACAGCTCCCTGGAGGACAGTGAGATGAGAGCCCCAAAGTCACTGAGAGCTGGGTTCCTGGGGATCTAAACCTGACTCCTCTGTTCACATGCTGTGTGGCTTCAGGGAAGCTCCTCGGCCTCTCTGGGCTACAGTGAGTGACTTGCATGGAATGCTGAGAGCAGTTTCTGGCATGAGGAGTCATGTATTCATTCATCAGTGTTGCTGTGTGGCACGCAGGACCCTATATGTCAGGTCCCCAACACCATGCCCAGGTGCAGTAATCCCCGGGGAAGACACTGCTTGATCCATTCGTTCACCTCTGTCCGGTTTTTTTTTTTTTAGTAAAGAAGGAGAGTTTATTGAAGTAGAAAAGTATAAAGTGGATGAATTGAGCCCCAACAGTTGGGGGCGTTTGGAGAGAGGGTGCCACTACCGTCCCTCCTTTCTGATCCAGGCCGTGGTGCAGTCCTGGTCCTCCACCATCTCTGTATACCCGACTTTCAACAGTGTCCCTGGGGAATGTGGCCCAGTGTATCCCAGGGTCTGCTCGCTGCCACCAGCAGCCGTCTGATGTCCTGCCTGTGACTGACTGCAGCTCCTCTGGGCTGACGTTGGGCTGTCCACTCTTGTTGCTCGTGGTGACACTGCCTTGCACCGCCAGCTTCGTGTCTCATCCCTGTGGTGATGGTGGTGTGGAGGACCACCTGCTGATGTGCTGTGTTCTCCCCTCCAGTGACGGCAGTGTCATCGGCGTCACCGAGCCCCGCCGCGTGGCTGCTGTGGCCATGTCCCAGCGCGTAGCCAAGGAGATGAATCTGTCGCAGCGGTGAGGCCCTGCTTCCAGTGGGGGACGGTGGCCTGCGGCCTTGCCAGATGTGCCTCCTGACCGCCTGGGGCCCTGGACGGGGCGAGGGTGCCCTCAGGAGTGTTACCTCTGCCCCAGAGCCCGGGGATAGCCTTTGAAGGCTTCCTGCATGGTGGCCTCAACAATCATCTGAGCTGCAGGCTGTGAAGCAGAGACGAGGCCAGCCATGCTCCCATCACACACTGAGGGGACAAAGTGGGACCATCCAGGAGCACGGGGACAGAGCAGGTGGTCAGGTGCAGCAGCCACGTGGGGCCTGAGCTTTGCCCAGGCTCCAGGCAGAGCGTCCTTTCCAGACAGCTTCGATTTTGGTTTGGGGGGAGTTTTTGGTGCCATGGATGGAAGCCAGGCCTTCACACATGTTAAACATATGCTGTCCCCTGGACTACACCCACCCCCACTCCAACTTGAACATTTAGGAAGGGCGGCATAATGAGCCCTGGGTCTCCAAGGGCCAGTGTCAGCATTTGTCACCCTGTGACAGCCTGGTCTGTCTGGTCCTCCCGCCCCTGGACGTGGAGGTCAGAACTCCCCACTTAGGTCTGGGAGATGAGGCGCTCGCTTCCCTCCCAGTGAGCTCTCCACCCGCATTGGCACTGCTCAGGCTCTGGCTGTCGTCTGCACGTGTGTTTGTGTGACATGGCTCCTGGGTGGCCTGCCTGGTGGGGCCAGGCCTCCTCTGCTTACCCTAGGTGAGGGGGATGTGACCCTCAACCTTCTGTAGCTCTGGGGTCTCTGCCCTGAGCTGGAACCTCTCCCTACAGGGTTGTCTCATACCAGATCCGGTATGAAGGAAACGTGACCGATGAGACCAGGATCAAGTTCATGACAGATGGTGTGTTGCTCAAGGAAATCCAGAAGGTTGGTTACCTGTCTGGTCTCAGAAAGCAAGGACAGTGGACGTGGGGCAGGGAGTTAGAATGTCCCCCTGCCTTGGTCAGCCAGCACACTGCCTGTTGGCAAGCTTTAAATTCCACTGCCTGCTGCTGTGTGAGTTTTGACAAGATTCTTAACCTCTCTGAGCCTCACCTGCTTCATCAGTACACTGCTTTCTTCATAGAACCGTTTTGAAGCATTTGTGCAGGGCCCAGAGACAGCACTGGAAGGTGCCTCATAAACACCCACGTGTGTCTTACTGTGATTTGATTTGTGGTCTCTCCATCCCCCACATGAGTACTGAACGCTGGGTGCTGCCTGAGTGTGAGTCCAAGTGGAGGATGAGACCTGGCCCCGTTGTGTGCTGCCCCCCGATTGTGAGTGGGGAATGACAAAAGGGAAAAAGCAGCAGTCCTGCCAACCGGCCATCCCTGAAAATCAAGTCCAGCAATGTAGTTGCTGATCCCCCAGCTGCCTCCTTAGGCCTCCAGAAGCTTCTGAGGGTGCAGGAACATTCTGGAACTTGCCCAGTTGGTCTGTGGGTAGCTTGAGTGTCCCCAAGAGTGTAGGCCGAGATAGAGCTCCACTGTCTGACGAGGGTGGCTCTACTCCCGCCCAGCTGTGACATCCCCCAGGTGGGGGGAGCCTCTGGACTGGGCAGGGGCCTCGAGGCCACCAGAGGTGTTTGGGGTCCTATGTGGCACATGCATCAGTTGCCCATGGTCCCCACCCTATGTGTTACCTGCATCTCGGTTCTGAGAGACAGTAGCTGCCCTTTCTCTAGTGTGTGCTCTGCCAGGCCCTGGGCTGTACACAGTCATGTGTGTTGACTGACTTCATCGCCTCCCCATGTCCCCAGGAGATGGGTCCTGTTGGCCCCGTTCTACAGATGAGGAAACTGAGGCCAGGCTGAAGTACCTGACCGAGGTCACGAAGCCAGGCTTCCCGAGGCCGGGTGCACAGTCAGTGTTGGGTGTCTGAGGCTCCATGAGCAGTGGCTGTGGTGTGACCTGTCCTGCCCTGCTCCCCCAGGACTTCCTGCTGCAGAAGTACAGGGTGCTGATTGTGGACGAGGCCCACGAGCGCAGCGTGTACACCGACATCCTCCTCGGCCTTCTGTCCCGCATCGTGGCTCTCCGGGCCAAGGTAGTGCAGAAGTGGGTGGGGGCACAGGGTCCCCCATGTCCCAGGACTTGCCAGGATCTCAACCGTGAGGGGCTCAGTGCCAGCGCCAAGAATCTCCTGGTGGCACAGGGCCATGGGCTGTGTCCTGATCATCCTCTGTCCTCCGCAGAGGCAGCTGCCGCTGAAGCTGCTGGTCATGTCAGCCACGCTGCGGGTGGAGGACTTCACCCAGAACACACGGCTCTTCCCCAAGCCACCCCCAGTCATCAAGGTAACGCCGGGGCCCATGCTCCCCACTAGCCTGCACTGACTGGGATGCCCTGGTGTCCAGGCTCCTGAGGGGCCTGGCCTTGCCCACGGGAACTGGCAGTGTCCGGGAGACGCCCAGGAAGATCAGGTGTGGAGGCGGTCCTGGACTGCAGCTGCCCATGCCGTTTGGGTGTCCTGCAGGTCGAGTCCAGGCAGTTCCCGGTGACAGTGCATTTTAACAAGCGGACACCACTGGATGACTACAGTGGGGAGTGCTTCCGGAAGGTCTGCAAGATCCACCGGATGCTGCCAGCAGGTGCCATGATGGGTCACCGGGGCCCCAGCTCACCTGCGCCCTGCCTGGTCTCAGTGCTCAGGGCTTCTTGGGGCGGGCATCCCCTTAGCAGATGGGGGTTTATTTTTAGTTGATGGGGTCTGCCATGATGCTGCTGGGTCCAGTGGTTCCATGCCACCTTGGGCCTGGGGAAATGTCTTCCCATCTTGCCTGTGTCTTGGTCCCAGCTCTGGGTTGTCCCTGAAGTACATTCTTTCTGCAGGTGGCATCCTGGTGTTCCTGACAGGCCAGGCAGAAGTGCATGCACTGTGCCGCAGGCTCCGGAAGGCCTTCCCAGCCTGCAGATCCCAGCCACAAGGTAACCAGGCCACTGAGTGTCTGACCAAGCTCAGACCACACCCTGATTGGCATCTGCCTCTGCCTCAGTGTCCCACTGGAATTTCTGTGCTTTGGCTGATGCCCCCCCACCTCCCACCCCATAAATGATCACCAACACAGCCTTGCTCTGGAGCAAAGTGCCGGCCACCTGCACTGACGACAGGTGTCTTGCCCTTCCTGCTCACCTTTCCAGAGGAGGAGGAGAGGAAAGAGTCAGCGGAAGAGATGCGGAAGTTTAAGAAGTCCCAGGCGAGGGCCAAGAAGGCTCAGGCTGCGGTAGGTGACAGCTCGTGGGGCCTGCAGTGTCCATGACGGTGGCCACTGGCCTCACATGGCTGCTCAGACTTTGATGAAATTAAATGAAAGCCCAGTTCCTCAGTTGCCCCACATGCATCTTGAGCTCAGTAGCCACGCAGGGCAGCTTGTGCTGCGGTGGACAGTGCTGTTCTAGAACATCCTCTCCTGTGGTGCAGAGTTCTATTGAACAGCGACCTGTGGAGGCCGTTCTGATTTGTAACTCATTCGGGGAAAGCTTCCAGAAGGCTCGTCCTGAGCACTGAGCAGGGCTTGCAAGGACTTTGGGAACAGGCAGACCTCAGGAGGTAGGTGTCCACTCCTGAAACCTGAGGGAGGGGTCTCCCCAGGGCACACCACATGCCGGGATACAGTGCAGTGGCAGTGGTGGCCTGCTTGGTGGCTCCTGTGGATAGCGACCAGGCTCTTGCCATGTGCAGGTCACACCACACATCTCTTGAGGCAAGCCCCATGATCACTACTAGTTTTTAGGTGAGGGACGGAGGCAGAAGGTTCAGTAACCTGCCATTCCCATGGGAGGTGGGTGGGAAAGGATTTCCTTGTGCAAAAAAACACAAGCCATTGTCCCATAGGCACTGCCCAAGATCAACCTGGACAATTACTCCGTGCTGCCGGCGGGTGAAGGCGACGAGGACAGGGAGGCGGAGATGGACGAGGAGGAGGAGGCCCTGGGCTCCGACCTCGATCTGGATCTTGGGGATGACGGAGCAGATGGAGGTGCTTCTGGCAGAGCGCCCTTCCCTGAGTTCATTTGGTTCCTTCCTTCAGCACTTGTCTGCTGACCCCTGTCACATGGCAGGCCCTGTTGTGGGCCTGGGCACCATGAACAGCAGAAGTCCTACCCTTGAGTACACGCAGGGCTGGCCAACACATCCTTGCTCCTCACACAGGTGTGAGCCCAGGCACATGGGACCATGTGGCTGCTTCACCTGCTGGGGTTTCCTGAGCCCTTGTGCTGCCCAGTGTGGAGTAGGCCCAGCTGCTTGCCACGTGGGTGGGAACAGGGTCACCACACGTAGCTCCCCTTTGCTAGGAGGGTTGTCCAATTCCTGGGGGTCCTGTGTACGTGGTTAGGTCCTGCGCCTTGCTGCATCCAATGTGGGCCAGTGTGGTGGTACCAACTATAGCCCCAGCCACTTGGGAGGCTGAGCCAGGATCGCTTGGGCCCAGGAGTTCTGGGCCAGCTTGGGCAACATAACGAGATCCTATGTCTTGAAAAAGGGAGGGTGGGGAGCCTGGAAGGAAGGAAGGAAAAACTCCTATGATCTTTGTGCTGCCTCAGTGTGACCACGGCCTCCCTCGCCTGCCGTGCTGCCAGGACACCTAGGGTGGGACCAGGCTGCTTGTAGGAAGGGCTACAACAGCAAGTTGGCCATCCTGGGCCTGAGCCAAGCTGCAGTGACGGGGACAGCCCTCAGGAACTTCCTGGCCTTGTCTGACTGTGGAGCTGTCCTGAACTGGAGCTCCCAGCCCAGGGCTGGAGTGAAGCCTCTCACAGCAGGATGGGAAGTACCAGGCAGCCAGGGACTGGCTCCTGCTTGTGGGTGTTTATCCCAGCCAGGGTGCCAGTGGCCTCTCCTTGCCTGCAGGTGAGCAGCTGGACGCCTCCCTGCCCCTGCATGTGCTTCCGCTGTACTCCCTGCTGGCCCCAGAGAAGCAAGCACAGGTAACGGTGCTGGGCGGGGACAGGTGTGTGGCCTGGGTGCCCACTGTGTCTCTGGGGTGTTGAGGTGGGTGGGTCAGGCAGGGTGTGCTTCCTTCAGGTGTTTGGGAGCACATCGGGGTCCTCCTGGGAAATAGAAAGCCCTCTCCATTTGGTGCCAGCAAGCTTGGCAGCCAGCAGAAGAGGCTTGGCCTGCCTACCTCCTGCCACCCACCTGGCCAACTGCTCTCTGATAAAGAGAGTCTGGCTTTGTGTCCACACCTCCATCTCTCCAGAAGTCTAACCTGATCCTAGTCTTCTCTCGCTCCCTATCCCAGGTCTTCAGACCTCCCCTGGAGGGATCAAGGCTGTGCGTCGTGGCCACCAATGTGGCCGAGACGTCCCTCACTATCCCCGGCATCAAGTACGTGGTAGACTGCGGGAAGGTCAAGAAGCGCTACTATGACCGTGTCACCGGTGTGTCCTCCTTCCGCGTCACCTGGGTCTCCCAGGCTTCAGCTGACCAGCGGGCAGGACGGGCTGGCCGGACGGAACCAGGCCACTGCTACAGGTGGGCAGCCAGGTTCCCGTGCAGTGGTCATTGTCCCTCTCGTGTTTGCCACGGGTCCTGCAGCCTTGGGTGCAGCACACATCTTTTAGGGGCTCACATCATCTTTATCCTGCTGCAGGAGCCAGGCCCTGCTCTTCACTGCTGTTTTTCTGTTTTGTCAACATCTGAATTAGGAAGCGTGCACATCACAGTGTGATTCTGGGGTTTTAGTGTATTCATAGGTGGGCAGCTATCACCACAGTGGAATTAGAGCGTCTCGCCATCCCAGAAGAAACCTGGTACCTGTGAGCAGGCACTCCCACTTCCCCCAGCCCCTGGTGACCACAAGGCCACATTTGACCTCCACAGACGTCCCTGTTCTGGACATTTCACATAGACCAATAAGTCACACCATAGGTGACGTTTCGCGTCTGCCTCCGTCACTCAGCGTAATGAGTTTTCAGGGCTCGTCCACTTCGTGGCATGGGTCAGTGGCCCAGTTGTTTTCCACGTGTACAGGACCACATTTTGTTACCCACTGGTCAGTGGTGGCCATTTGGGTTTTGGCCATTCCTTGTCTTTGTGGACAGAGCTGCTGCGTGTATTTATTTGGATGTGTTCATTCATCCTGGGAATCGCCCAAGGCGTGAAGTCTCGGGTAGACGGCAGCTGCAGGTTTAAGTGACAAAGGAGCCGCCAAACACCCATAGTGGCTGCACCATTTTCCCCTCCCCCTGCCACGCACACGTGAGCTAGGCACGCGTGTGCCTGGCCAGCACACGGCACATGGCCCGTTCCTCAGCGAGTGAGGTGTCTCCTGGCGCTGTGGGTTACAGTTCCCTCAGGGCTGGTGGCCACGGGCACCTCACGCAGATGAACCTCATGTCTTCTCTGAGGAGCGATCACCTCAGAGCGCTCGCTCACTCTTAGGCGTTAGGCAGTATTCTGTAGTTGATTTGTCTTTATATGATCTGAATGGTGTCAGGCGTCTCACTGGTAAATATTTTCTCCCATCTATGCCTTTTTTTTTTTTTTTTGGTGGCATGGGGTTTGAACTCGGCTTCACGCTTGCAAAGCAGGCACTCTACTGCTTGAGCCACACCTCCAGTCCTGTGCCGTTATTTTTAATAGCTTTATTGCTGGTCTTTTCAACATTGTTTTAAGTTTTTTAAAAAATCAAAAACCTTAGAAAATCCACCAGGGAAATAGTAGGAAGAGTCCGTGTTGGAATTCGCCGAGGGCCACCTTGTGGCATCCCTGACATCCCTTGCCAGTGCCCTGCCAGGCAGCTATTTCTCAGATGGGAAACTGAGGCTGGGGCAGCTGAGGGCCCTGTGTGGTGAGCAGCGGGCAGGAGTTAGGCCCAGCTGATACGAACTAGTTTCTTCTGGCCCGGCTTCTCTCCGCTCAGGCTGTATTCCTCCGCGGTCTTTGGGGACTTTGAGCAGTTTCCTCCACCGGAAGTCACCCGCAGGCCCGTGGAGGACTTGATCCTGCAGATGAAAGCTCTCAACATTGAAAAGGTCAGTCGCCGGCCTTGGCCGGCCCCAGCCCACAGCTGTATGCAGCACCGGCCTCTTCCAGGACCTCGCGTTATCAGAGGCCCAGGCAGCAAGGTCCTGCACACTGCTCATCAGCTGTCAGTCCTGGGGGGCAGAGCGTTGTGTTGGCTCCTGGCCACCGCCCTCTCAGCCCAGCCCTCGGGTGGAGGGGAGGCATCCTGTCCCCACTCCAGGATGGAGAGGGTCCTGTCCACACCACATGCTGGGCCAGCAGCTTCTCAGACCCCCACACATCATGCACCATCCAGATCCTCACTGACGAGGAACCAAGGCCGGAGCGTTCAGGAATGCATGGAGGTGTCAGATGCAGATGGTCTCCTGTGGCCTTTTAAAAGCACATCCTAGCCAGGCACCATGACTCACGCCTACAATCCTAGCTACTTGGGAGGAGGAGATAAGGAAGATCAAAGTTCAAGGCCAGCCCCAGGCAAATAGTTTGTGAGACCATCTCAAGTAAGAAACAACTGGGCCTGATGGCCTAAGCCTGTTACTCCAGCTAAGCCTGTGCACTCAGGAGATGCAGATAGGAGGGCCAAGGTCCAAGCTGGTCTATGCATGAAAGGGAGACCCTATTCCAAAAATGGCAAGAGCAAAAAAGGGTTAGGGGAAGGGCTTAAGTGGTAGAGCGCCTGCTGGCAAGCATGAGCCCCGCAATTCAAGCTCCAATAATAGGATTACACCCGGGGCTGGGTGTACCTCGGGTGCAGCCTCCCTAGCGTGTGCAAGGCCCTGCTTTTGTCCCCAGCACTGCAAAGAACAAAGGTACCTCCTCACTAGGTGTGCTGGGACATGAGCCCAGGAGGCAGCCTGGCAACATGGGGATGTCCTGTGTCTTTAAGAAAGGGAAGAGTCCTCACTGATTGTTTTAGTAGCAAACATGACATCCAAAGTAACAAGCAGCATGGAGAATGTGACGTTCATCCTGCCACCCGCCCCAGTGGCTGCCGGTGTCCCCAGCCACACTTTCCAGATCCGATCTGGATTGTTGCAGTGGCTTTCTGAGTGTGCGTGCTGTCCTGGGCTTGATTTCTTTAAAGGCTGTGATTTGTTAGGTTCCAGCTGTGTGCCAGGTGCCCTGCATGTGTGACCTCAGTTCATCCTCACAGCGAGTGACCCTGGGAGGGAGCTATGGTACTGTCACCTCATTTTATAGACAAGATAGACGGACCTGGCTGTGGGTCCCAGAGAGTTGGGGGGGAGTGTCAGGCAGGGCTTGGCACTCTGGTTGCAGTGCCATTTGAAATGCCTCTCAGAGTAAGATCTGGTCACCCTCAGAAGTCCTTCAGAGCTTGCTAACACTCCCTCCTCGCTGTGCCCATGGCCACAAGCTCTCCTGCCCCCTGCCTGCTCCCCTCGCCCCAGGGCCTTCGCACTGCTGCCCCCGTGACCTCCTGCGTCTCACGTGCAGACTCCCTCCTTTTCAGGGTCAGTGTCCTCAGAGGAGCCACTTTGGATCATTCTGTTTTTTCAGCAGCATAACACACAGCTCAGTGGCTATCAGTAGAATTCAGAGGCGAGTGGTCATTGTCACGGTCAGGGACCTTTCCATCACCCCAGCCGTCACCCCTCCCTCTCCACTGTGGGCGTTCCTGTGGATGGAGCGTGGCCTTTGTGCCCCGTGCCGTGTGCTCAGGGCTCTCTCCTGCTGTCCGTCCTTGTTCCTCCTGAGTCACGTGTGGTTGTGTTCCATTAGCCACTTGTCAGCTGGCGTCACGGTCATCTTGCTGCTGTGAGCGTGTGTGCAGTTTTTATTTGAGTGCCCATTTCCTTGGTTAGTCTGCTTAAGGCCAGCACCCATGGGCCTGTCACTTTTGGTCCCTTAGCTGCCTCATTGTCAGTGGCTTTCACCCACACAGTACCATTCGTTTATTTACGGGATTCACCGATCCCTCCCTGACCGCTTCCCCACCCCGATAACCAAGCACTTAGTGAAGATTGAGCCTTGTCCCATGCACAGTCACTCTCCATCACCAAGCACGGCCTCTGGAGCACAGTGGGTGGTCAGGGCGTGCTTTATTTTATCTTATTTTATGTTTTTTTGTGGTATGGGATTTGAACTCAGGGCTTCACACTTGCAAAGCACATTTTCTACTGCTTGAGCCACACCTCCAGTCCATTTTGCTCTGGTTATTTTGGAGATGGAGTTCTGAAAACTTTGCCCAGGCTGACAGTAGCTAGGATTATAGGCATGAGCCACTGCACCCTGCTCAGGACACGCTTTTGAATGCGTGGGTGACGGGAATGAATGAGGGTGACTTTCAGGAACCATCGAGTGGACCTGAGAGCTCTTGGCTGTGTTCTGGGCGTCCAGACCCCCATCAGTGGCCCAGCTGGTGTGAGGGGTGCTCAGGGCAGGAGTTTGGGACTGCAGGGCCTAGGGAGGGAGGGCCATGGTCGTACCACATCACCAAGCTGGCCCCTGTACAGCACCGTCCCTCTTTTGTGTACACGTGCCCCAGGTCATAAACTTCCCGTTCCCAACGCCTCCCTCTGTGGAAGCTCTTGTTGCTGCTGAGGAGCTGCTGATTGCACTGGGGGCCCTGCAGGCGCCCCAGAGAGCAGAAAGGTAGGTGGTGAAGGGGTTGGGACCCCGGTGATCTGGCCAGCCTGTGCACTGGCCCTGGCCCTCTCCTGGCACCCACCCACCACAGGCCTGTCCCCAGGATGAAGCAGCTCCAGAGGTCCCGGCTCAGTTGTCCCATCACCACACTGGGCCGCACCATGGCCACCTTCCCGGTGGCCCCCCGCTACGCCAAGATGCTGGCCCTGAGCAGGCAGCATGGCTGCCTGCCCTACGCCATTGCCCTCGTGGCCGCCATGACTGTCCGCGAGCTGTTCGAGGAGCTGGACAGGTGCGTGGGCACTCAGCTCAGCCTCTGGGAGCCACTGGGTTTGGGTGGCCTTGTGGAACACCTTGTCCCCCGCCCCTCCTCCATTCCTGAACCTTCCGTGACCTGATCCCCACCATGGCTGCGCTGAGTCCCATCTGCTACGTGTGAACGATGGAGGGAGGTGGAGGTGACCAGGGACTCAGAGACTCCTGACTCCAAACAAGCCACTCAGAATGAACGCTCTGAATCCCGGGACGAGGCCTGGGGGTGGCTCCATGGCAGACCTTGCCTAGCATGTACGAGGCCTTGGGTTCCACACCCAGCACTGAAAAATTATAAAGCAGAAAGTAAAAGAGGGAAGGCAGAGGCAGCGAGAGGCAGGCAGTGTTCACCAAGAATGGCAAACTCTTGTGTGCTTAGCAAAATTCACATTAGAATTATGACTGCTTAACAACTTTATTTTGTTTTTGCGGTACTGGGGTTTGGACTCAGGGCCTACACCTTGAGCCACTCAGTCAGCCCTTTCTCGTGATGGGTATTTTCAAGATAGGGTCTCGTGAACTATTTGCCTGTGCTACCTTCAAATCTCAATCCTCCTGATCTCTGCCTCCTGAGAAGCTGGGATTATAGATGTGAGTCACTGACACCTGGCTCTATTTAACCAGTTTTTAAATGCGCAAACTTATTTGCTTACTTATTTTGCAGTGCTGGGAGGCAAACCCACAGCCTCACATGAGCTAGGCCCTTACTCTACCATTTGACCTTGGTGGCAATTCAGCAGTTTGGGCCGTGGGGTTTTTGTGGGTGAGGGAACAGTTAACAGGATCTCCCTGCATAGTCCAGGCTGGCTTCAAACTCCCGATTCTCCTGCCTCAGCCTCCCCAGTACTGGGGTTCCAGGTGTGTTCCTCCACACCCAGCTGTTTTTTTTTTTTTAATTATTACTTAAAAACACTGCTGTCGTGTGCAGTGCTGTGACTTGAGTTTCTGAGCAGGGGCAGACATCTTGAGTCTTTGTGGCTGCTGGAGGTGAACTTGAGCGGGGGCTTAGGACCTTCTTCCACTCACCAGTGACCTGTGGGCCCTTGTGGATAAAAGCACTCCTGCCCTGCAGTCAGGCCAGGGCAGCGGCCGAGTCTCATGTGTGGGGTGTGTTGTGTGTTTGTAGACCAGCTGCCAGTGAAGAGGAGCTTGCTATGCTGACGAGCCGGAGGGCCCGGGTGGCCCGGATGAAGAGGGCCTGGGCTGGGCAGGGAGCCTCTCTGCAGCTTGGGGACCTCATGGTGCTGCTGGGTTGGTACCTGCTGGTGAGGGTGGGGGCATGGCCGAGGGGTGGGGGAGAGGCCACCAGGCCTGGGGCACAGTGACCTGGCAGCAGTACCCCGGTTTGGTCTGCAGGCGCTGTGGGAGCCTGTGAGTTCGCCAGCTGCTCACCTGAATTCTGCCAGGCCAACGGGCTGAGGTTCAAGGCCATGCTGGAGATCCGGCGCCTGCGAGGCCAGCTGACCACCGCAGGTGCAGCCCCACCCCATACGTGTGTCACACCCCTTGCAGCCAAGGACTCTGTGGCAAAGGTTCCATGTTCACACCTCACCATGTTCACGCGTGCTCTCAAGGCAACACGTAGTGCTCTCACAGCCCCTGGTGTGTGTGTATGGGCGACAGCCCCTGATGCTCACTGCCAGCAGCTTGTCCCTCTGCTCCTTGGTGACAGCCCTCCTATCCGCTGTCCCCCGCTCTGGTCCTCTCTTCCTCAGGCCTGGCTCCAGCAGGATTTCACACCTGAGCTTAGATGACCTGTGCCAGTAACACCCAAGGGACGCTAGAGTCATGTCTTTCACCTTGTGCCATGCTCAGGGAGGGTCCTGTGGCACTGGTCACTCTGGGCAGTCCTTTCCGGAGCCAGTGCTTCCTGGAGGCAGTATGGGGGGTGCGGGTTTCAGGGTTCAGTGCTGAAACCTGTGTCTGTTTCTGGCCCATACTGTCCCTAGCACCCAGGGTGTCACTGTGGCCCAGCATCAAGCCTGGTGTCGTCCCCAGGAGCATCAGCCTGCACACAGCTGCCTGACACTGTGACAGCCTGCCCTCCTGGGCAGGAGAGGAGACAGATGGGGCTGAGATGCACGTGGTGGTCCTGTTCCTATAGGGAGTGTCCTCGGGTCACCGTCAGCAGCCTCCGCCTGACCTGAGCCCATGCCTCCTGGAGCCTGTGGGGCCATCTCAGCAGGACTCTGCTGCCTGCAGAAACCCAGGCTTGCCTGCAGAGACGGGGACACTGGGCAGCCATGGTTCCATGTGCTGAAGACTTGGTCTCCTACCACCAGTGGGAGGGAGGGGCTGAGATGCTCAGGTGGCTGTGGCCCAGGTGCTGTGCTGAGTGCTGTGGGGTCCAGAAAGTCAGGCAGAGCTTACCCCAGGGCCCCAACGTCCATCCTCACGCTCAGCTCTCCCCCAGTCAACGCTGTGTGCCCTGAGGCTGGGCTCTTTGTGGACCCCAAGATGCAACCTCCCAGCGAGAGCCAGGTGACCTACCTGCGGCAAATCACCACAGCCGGCCTGGGCGACCACCTGGCCCGCAGGGTGCAGAGTGAGGAGCTGCTGGACGACAAGTGGAAGAACGCGTACAAGGTGGGCACATTGGGTGGGCACCAGCCGCTCACACCATAAACCGGGTGGGGGTGTGGGCAGGTGGGGAGCGCTTGCCTAGCATGTTTGAGGCCATGGGTTCAATCCCTGGTACCTCCAAAACAAAAAAAAGGGAATAAAGAAAGTACACAATTCCCTGGCTGGTACCCTTTATCATGGACCAGACATCACTACAGTCAACTTCAAAACATTCCCCCCCCCTCCACGAAAGAAATTCCCATCAGCCCCTCCCCCCTCCCTCCACCCCCCACCCCGTGGACGGGCTTTCTGTCCCTGGACTGCCTGAGCCATTTGTGGCTGCCTCTTTAACCCAGCATCTTTTCTGAGGTCCCTTCACATTGTGACCTGTGGCTGAGGAGCAGTGCGTGTGCAGATGGACTCCACCGTTGGCTCACCTGCATTTAGCCTGGAGTGGGTGGCTGGCTCCTCTTGTGTTTTACACACAGGGGGCCCAGGTACTGTGTTTCTCTCCAGTCCGAGACGCCCTGCACCTCTGTTCACAGACCCCGCTCCTGGACGACCCAGTCTTCATCCACCCCAGCTCCGTGCTTTTCAGAGAGCTCCCTGAGTTCGTGGTCTACCAGGAGATCGTGGAGACCACCAAGTTGTACATGAAAGGTACCAGTGGTGGCCAGGCCTCCCCTGCCCAGGTGGCCCTGCCAAACTGTATGCCAGGACCCACGCAGGAAGAGCTGTGAGTGCGTGGTGACTCTGCCCTCTCCCCGTCCACAGGTGTCTCTGCCGTGGAGGTTCAGTGGATCCCAGCCCTGCTGCCCTCGTACTGCCAGTTCGCTGCACCCCTGGAGGAGCCGCCCCCCGCCTACTGCCCCGATAAGGGCCGGGTGCTGTGCCACCGTGCCAGCGTGTTCTGTGAGTAGGGTGCAGCTTTGGGCCCCTTTGGACACGCTGTGCTGTAACTTGCCCTGGACGTGGGTCTTAGGGTGTCACCCCTGGCCTCCTGTCCCTGAGTGGGTGAGCTCCAGAGCTCATAAGGGGCACAGGAGAGTGGCTGCAGGAAGACCCCTCGCTCACTGGCGCTCACCCCGCAGATCGTGTCGGCTGGCCACTGCCCCCAGTGCAGGTGGACTTTCCCCAAGGCATTGACTGCTACAAGCACTTTGCCCGCTTTCTGCTGGACGGGCAGGTAGGTGGTCCCCAGCTCCCCTCACTCCCTCTTGGAGGTGCCGTGGCTGGGCAGGCCCAGGCTCACCCTCCCTCTCTCTCCTCAGGTTTTCCGCAAGCTGGCCTCCTACAAGGGCTGTTTGCTGTCCAGCCCCAGCACAGTGCTGAAGACCTGGGCCAGGTACGACCTTCCCGCCCTCCCAGGCCTGGGGCCACTGACTCCTGTGGCTGGTGGCAGCACCTCTGGCCACCTCTGCCTTTGTCTTCTTGTCCACTTCTCTTGTGTGGATACCAGTCACGGGGTTTGGGGCCCATCCTCATCCCAGCAAGTTACACCTGTGTTTTCCAATGTTCTGTTGGAAGGGAATTTGGGGAGGGGGCTTGGTCAGCCCACTGCCAGGTGTGGACAGGAGACTTCCTGTTGTCTGCCCTTGGGGGCTTCCTGCCAGCTGAGCAAAGACCCCACTCCCCTCTGTGGACTCAGCCTCCCACACACACACTGCAAGCTACTCCTGGGCCAGCTGCCCACATCTGCCTCCGGCCCACAGGCTGCAGCCAAGGACAGACAGCCTGCTGAGAGCCCTTGTGGCCGAGAAGGCCGACTGTCGTGATGCCCTGCTGGCAGCTTGGAAGAAAAACCCCAAATGTGAGTTTGACCAGGGCCAGGGGTGGGGGTTGAGTGTCTTGCAGGGTCAGTCCTGACCCTACACTGGACGGCTGGCGCCCTGTCCACTTGAGAGTTCTCTGTAGGGCCACCCTGATGCCTCCTTCTGCCTGCAGACCTGCTGGCCGAGTACTGCCAGTGGCTCCCACAGGCCGTGCACACCAACATCGAGAAGGTCTGGCCCCCCATCTCTGACCGCTGAGCGGACACCTGGTGAACAAGGGGGCTGACAGTGCCCAGCCCCCTGCGCTGCTCCTGGGACGCAGGGCAAGGCCCTGAAACCCTGGCTCATCTCAGCCTGATACTGGACAGGGCTCACCACTGCCCTGGTCATGTTTGCCTTTTATGCTTGTTTATCACAGATGGACAGGTTTTATGTCACATGTCAGTTCCTGGCCTACACGTGCTCTCGGGCTACATTAGCCTCAGCAAGAGGGCCCCAGAACCCTCCAGGTGGCAGACACTGCCCAGAACTCTGCCCCAACCTCAGAGGGCTTCGTATGGAAGGTTGCCATGAGGACCTTTGTGTACTGTGGCCTTGAGTGGACATCTTGTCCCCTGATGGCAGCTCTCAGTGGCAGGGCACTGACTGGCTGTCCTTTGGCCATGCTGTAGATCATGGGCCTGGTCCCACCAGGGCCACAGAACTGTTCTGCTGACCTTGCTAGGGTTCCCTCTCTCCCTGGGGCTAAGGTGGAAGGTAGAGGGCCAGGGATAGGTCAGGCTTTTCATCACTGTGACAAAAGACCTGACAGGAAAAGCCGGGTGCTGACGGCTCTTGCTGGTAATCCTGGGTACTTGGGAGGCAGAGATCAGGAGGATGGAGATTCAAGGACAACCCTAGCAAACAGTTTGTGAGACCCCCATCTCCAAAATAACCAAAGGAAAATGGCTCTGGATGTGTGGCTCAAGTGTGCAGTGCCCTGAGTTCAAACTCCAGTCCCACAAGGGGGAAAATAAAAATATACTCAGGCTGAAGAAATTCCTTTTGTGTCACAACTGGAAGTTTTGATTTGCAGTGTGGGCTCTGACATAGGGGATGTCTGCTGTGGCTCTGAGCTGAGACAAGAAGGGATGCTTCAGGAAGTTCACAGAGGCCTCCTGGGTTTGAGGTTGGGGGGGTGCATACAAAGTGCTGTTCACTGCTCACGAAGGGCCACATCAGCTAAAAACAGGTTAGAAGCAAGGAGTTTCCCAGATGGATCACCACAGTATGGTTTCCTGAGGTTTTAGTCGACCATTGTAAAACTATGCATTTCTACAATAAAATGAGTTCACAAATAAGATACTGCTTTACACCGTAATAAAAATATTAGTACTTAAAAAAAATCCTCATTGCAAAAGAAATGTTCATTTGTGTTGATGTCTGCCTTGTTGAGGTGCTCTGAAAGCGAGCAGGGTTTCTAACTCAGTCCCACGAGCTTGGCCTTGACCTTGTGCTCTCACTGGGCCTTTCCTTCTGCCTTCTCTATGGGGTTTAGGTTGAGGATTTTCTGAGGCTGTGAATAAGTAATCACACAAGTAGTCTTAAAAAAAACTGGCTAGTGATTAAATGACATCCTGCCTTAAAAACAAAATAAAGCCGGACTCCGGTGGCTCACGCCTGCAATCCCAGCTACTCAGGAGGCAGAGATCAGGAGGATCACAGTTCGAAGCCAGCCTGGGCGAATAGTTTGTGAGACCCTATCTCAAAAAAATCACAAAAAAGGGCTGGTGGTGTGACTCAGGGTGAAGGCCCTGAGTTCAAAACCCCAGTACTACATAAAAATTAATAAAAACAAAAACCTGCTCAGGGAAAAAGAAAGTCACGGGCCTTCCCCAGGGCCTTGTCCCTTGGCCTGGCTTGCTGCTGCACCACTCTGGAAGGTGGCCTTGCCTTGCTTTACCAGCTTGGCATAGTAGTCCATGCGACTGTCCATCCTCAAGCAGGTTCCCGCTCCCCACCTCTCCCGGAGACCTGGTGGTTGGCACTTCTCCCTCCATTACCCTGGGAGCTCAGTCATGGTGCCACCTGTGACCCCAGCAGCCTGGGGAGCTGTCCTGTAGTGAGGAGAAATCCAATCCCCTGCCAACATGGAGACCTGGGTGGTGGTGGCAAGCATCTCGAGAACCCCACAGCAAAAGATGAGAGGTGGACCCTCCCCTGTCCCCACTATCCTCCACAGCCACCTTCAGAAAGCCATGATTGTACCATAGGCAGGCAGGGCTTGTTTAAAAACCTTTTGGAGGCCAGGCACTCATGGCTCATACCTGTAATCCTAGCTGCTCTGGAGGCAGATCAGGAGAATCATGGATCGAAGCTCAGACTGGGAAAATAGTGAGACCCTATCTCAAAAAAAAACCCATCACAAAAAAGGGCTGGTGGAGTGGTTCAAGATGTAGGCCCTGAGTTCAAGCCCCAGTATCCCCCAAAGAAGTTTTTAAAAATAACCTTTTGGGGAGGACGATGTGTAGCAGGGAGGAGGACCCCCAAAAAAGCAAGTCTATATTCTGGTAAAGTAGCAGGGAGGAAGGGGATGGCATAGCAGGGAGATAAAACTTAAAAATCTAAACATGAAGAAGGTCACATAGCACTGGGGGTGAAGTAGCCAATAGAGATGCATGCAACCATATATGGGTTAAACCTTGCTTCCTGCTTCTGTAACCTGCTTGCAAGGATATATAAGGAAAAGCCCATTTGTTCTCAGGGCTCAGCCTTTGGCTGGGAATCTGCTGAGCCGCTGCTGGCACACTAATAAACATTGCTGAAAGCCTTGTGTCCTGGGTCTCTGCTTGAGATCCCTGTAACATTTCTGGGGGCTTGTCTGGGATTCAGAGACGGTATTTTCACCTCCTTGTCACTGGGACTCAGCATCCTGGGCTTGTTGGGAGAGCATCCCACCAGGCACCAGAGAGCTAGTGTTGGTTGCACAAAGGAACCTGGAGAAGGCTCGGAAGCCAGTGGGAGCCCTGCCCATCAGACTGGTAAGAACCCGGGTTTGAATAATAGGCCTGCCTTTGGGAGGCAGAAGGGGAGACTGATCACCTCCCAGCAGACACCCGAGTAACCCTGTCTGGTGTGAAACCGTGTCTCTCAGGTTAAGGGAGTGGGGCAAAAATGTGGGAGACACATCCGGGAATTAGGGAGGTTGAGCACCTACTGGCTTTTCTCACCAGCAAGATAGGCCAGGATGGGAAACAACACAAGTAAAAAGAAAGCACTTTGGGTAAAATGCAAAAAACTTCCAATATTGGGGGGCAGGGGTTGAGCTTTCCCTAGGAAATTGCCACAATCAAGGTTAAGGGATGGGTAACAAAAATTCAGTTCCAAAGAGGGAGGGACTCACGAGATCACATGCATCATCCACCAATCCGCTGGATAGTGGCTCTCTGGGTATAATTTAAATGGGCTTTTTTTTGCTCCTGGAATTCCAGCTCCTCTTATGCAAGCTTAAAGTAACATTGTTTTCTGTCATGCTTAATTTATAAAACGTGTGTGTGTGTGTGTGTGTGTAAGCATCTTCAAAATGGTTCTTAAACTGCTGTTGTAAGGTTAATGTAACATTCAAGGTAACAAAAAAACGTTTTTTTTTTTTAAAGATCTCTGTTATAAACTGCTTAGGATTTTTACATATGAATATGTAAACATCTTGAGGATGGTTCTTTTTTTTTCTTTTATTCCTATGTGCATACAATGTTTGGGTCAGTTCTCCCTTGAGGATGGTTCTCATTAGAATCAGTGTAAAGAATTGTTACACTGATTTTCTGTTTCTTTTAAGAAAACCAGTTTTCAAACTTATTTGCATCTCACTAGGATGCAGGCATTGGAGTTTAAGACTCTGGCTCAGACAAGAGGGGAAAGTGGTGGAGGGAGCTGCAGCCTGCAGCAGGAATCTTAAAATTTGGGTAGTCAAAAAATGACCTTAGCTTGTTTCATTCTGTCATATATAAAATCTGGAATTTAGTTTTCTCTTGTAATACATGGGTCTGTTGATGAATGGGCTTTCTATAAATTGTTTTTATACAAAAAATAATTTTATGGTTGCCTTCTGTTTTTTTCAATGCAACTATAAGGCTCTAAGTTAAAAGAGTTTATGAGTTATTTTCAACAAGTAACCAAATATATATCTCTCTATGTATATATTCATACACACATATATAATGTATATATGTATTAAGGATATGGTTTTTAAAAATAAAAGGTTTAAAAACACCTTTAAATAAATTTAAAAAAAAGATAAAGACAAGGTCCCAGGAGGATACAAAATAAATTTTTGTAAAGGTACAGAGTAAGTTGTCATAAAAAGATGGAGCTTATAAATGCTTTTGTAAGTGATTGAGTAAAATCCAGTTACATTAAAGGTTTTGTAAGGTCAAAATTTAATGTACTGATGTTAAACTAAAACTTAATTCTCTAAGCTGATGAAAACAAGACTATCTTTAAAATATTATATTGTCCTTGATAACATTTACCAAAAAAAACTGTCGTAAAAATGGTTTTTGTTATGTCAAGATAACTATCAGGAATTTTTGGTGCTATGGGTTAACCTACAAATTTGCCAAGACAACAAGAGAACGAGAGTTTATTAAAACACAGAGAGGCAAGAGGCAGCTGAGCACAGGGAGTGCTGCTGCGCTGGTGTGAGGGTTGAGACAGATTCACTTATGTAAAGCAAAGTTAAAAAAAAAAACAAAACTAAAGTGCACCTCCAGATAGGATAAAGGAAAAAAATTCAAAAAGAGTGCCACACCAGAGGTCAAGACCTCCAGTTTGAGGGGGAAGGGTGGGGGAGGAGGGCAGGGTGGACAAATGACACAATGTATGCACATGTGAATAAATAAACTAAAAAATAATTTAAATAAATAAATAAATAAAAAGACCTCCAATTTTCATTGGACTCAACAGAGTGGAGGTGTTGGTCCTATTCCTTCCATGTGGCAGGCGGAGGGAATTTTTGGCCTTCGATGGCCAGATCGGGCCTGTTATTTTAGGAGGACTCCATTAACCACAGGTTGGTGGGATCCTGCTGGATGTCATGAGGCATTTGTTAACGTCAACAGTCTGGGATGTGATCCCTTATCAACATCTGAGCCATGATTCTGGGCCATTCCTAACTCCACACTTAGTCCCCATAAGTATTTACCTGTGTTCTCTGGTGATTTTTGTCAGGGTTTTGACTCTGAGGTAACTGAGTCATAACTAACTAAAATTTCATTTAAGAGTTGGTTTATGTGAGATTTTCTAGATGACCTCATGGCTAAACTACTGTTGTCTTGGGTGATTCTAATGCAGTTGGTATCCAATATAGTCTGTGACTGGGCTTTTTGGGGTCACTGACACTGATCCCCCCTAAACTGATGAGAAAAATCTAAGGTTTTACTTCAAGAGGAACAATTAAACTAATATGTATATTAGAGCTGTGATTCTGTTTCTGGCTCCGTATATGAAATATATTTACGTTTTTCAAGTATATCAAGCCTTCTAAAATACAAAATTTAAATGAACACAGTAACAAAAAGTTAGTGGTACTGATATACTGTTCTGTTAGCTGCTAAACTGTCCATCAAAATTTTAACCATGGCTCTTTTAAGTTTTTGTCATTACAGTTCTAAAACTTCTGGGGCATTTATAATCAAGTCCATAAAAAATGATGCCAGTAAGTGCTTATGTGTCAACCAGGTTAGCCTTTTAGACGTCAGCTTTTGTTAAATTTTGTTTTGTATTGTTCTTGTCTAGAAGCCCGCTGCCTAAGGGCCACTCCTTCTAAGCCTCTTTGTTGCTTAAATTTGGCCAACAGTGTCCTTTTGGCACTGACTCCCACCTGATCTGCTTGTTACTTCCTCCCCACCCCCACGTGGGACCAAAACCAACCAAACAAAAACGCAGGAAAGAACAAATCCTCACAATGCAGAAAAGTAGTGACCGAACAAGAAAGATCTTCAGTCTGTGACCACACCACCCTGAACGCGCCCGATCTCGGCTGGTCTCAGAAGCTAAGCAGGGTCTGGCCTGGTCAGTACTTGCGTGGGAGGCAGGTGAGAGGAGACTGCTCAGAGACAGTTTGGAGACAAGGGGGGAATGCCGTGAAAGTTCCAATGCAGTCACTGGTGCCAGACCTCTCAACAATAACCAAGGTCAAGAGGATTGGGGAAGTGGCTCTTATACACGTGTGGCTATCTGGCATCAAAGCCCTTCCAGACACAAACTCATATTTTTAGCCAGGGCCTTCTGCTTAGAGACAGCGTGACTATTTTTACTGGCTCTAGACATGTCCTTGGATACTTCAAGTGGTAGTTTTAACTTTTTTAAGCAACGACTTTTCTCGGACATACATACTGCTAGTATATGGTTGCCGTGGTGATTCTACTCAGTCAGAAAACAAAAAGATACTGTCTGGGTAAAAGAATGAGATGTGCGACCATGCAAACCCCATTGGAGGCCCTTTTGTTGTTGTCATGCCTGTCCTCGCTACATTAAAGCAGCGGAAATTGCTCCCTGGATCCACCACAGTCCAGTGATGCCAGCCTCTCCTGAGTGGGAGAGCGTCCCTGACCCAGCCTCACCGTGCAAGATCGCCCTGCAGAACGCCTGTGCCCTTCCCCACAGGACCCTGCTCCCCTGGGGACAGTA